CCATTGGTTGCCATTCAGAGGAAGGAGGATTTTGATAAGATTGTGGATGAACATGCCTGAGCTGTACGCCACACCAGAAGGCCAAATCCTTTGACAAGGAAAAAGCATACAGGCCAGGGTATCAGTGGTGGTTGAGGAGAGGTGCTAGGAAAAATGGATCTTGGGACATGGATATATCTGAAGGGGCAAAGTCTTGCTATACAAGTAGTCCTTGACCACAATTGAGCCCCACATTTCTATTGCTAAGTGAGACAGTTAAATGAATGTTGCCCCATTTTACGACCTATCTTGCCACAGTTGATAAGTGAATCACTGCAATATGTTAAGTGAATCTGGCTTCCCGATTGATCTCCAATCAGAATAGAGCTGGGAGGGACCTTGGAGGACTTCTATTCCAACCCCCTGCTCAAGCAGGAGACCCTCTACCATTTCAGATCCAGTCTTTTTTAAAAAAAAAAAAAACCTCCAGTGATGAAGCACCCATAATCCCTGAAGGCAAGCTGCTCCACTGGTTAATTGTGCTCACTGTTGGGAAGTTTCTCCTTAATTTCAGGTGACTTCTTTCTATGATTAGTTCCCATACACAGTTTCTCCTCTTGCCTTTCAGTGCTTTGGAAAAAAGGTTGATCCCCTCTTCTTTGTGGCAGCCCCTCAAGCATTGGAATACTGCTATCATGTCTTCTCTAGACTGGCCACACCCAGTCTAGAGAATTCCTCCAACCATTCTTCGTATGTTTTTTGTCTTCAGTCCCTTAATCGTCTTTGTTGCTCTTATTTGTACTTTTTCCAAAGTCTCAACATCTTTTTTTAATGCTTTTTTGTCAGGTCGTCACAAAAAAGTGATCGCATGATCCCAGGAATCCAGCCGTCATAAATCAAGAGTCAGTTGCCAAGCTTCTGAATTTTGATCTCATGACCATGTGGATGCTGCAGTGGTTGTGTGAAAAACGGTCACAAGTCACTGTTTTCAGCGCCTCTGTGACTTCGAATAAGTCACTCAATGAACTGTTGCAAAGCAAGGATTACCCGTATTCACCTTGCAAAATGGAAGTGTCCCAAATTCTCCTTTGTTTGGAGGTAAAATGTCTGAAAAGTGGCTTATTGTGGGTTTGAAACATACCATTTTGGATTTCAGGTATGATCTAAAATTAACTAGCCTTTTCTGATTAAAAAAAACCCTCAATATGACTCATCTGGGTGTATATTAACATAATTAGAACTACACTAAATAAAAGATACTAAAGACAATCTTAAAAAGAAGTCAAGTATGGACTTCTTCAAGTAGGCATTTGATAAATGGTACTTGCACTAATAAGTATTTGAGCTTTAGAGCACGTAAATATAATTTAGAGCAGGTCTGGGCAACTAGTCACTCAGCAACCTATATATACAGGTAGTCCTCGACTTAAAACAGTTCATTTAGTAACCGTTCAAAGTTATAANATATATATATATATATATTCTGGGTATTTAACCATGTGTGTCGTCGAAAAATAAAACTGTTGCCTTGAATACCATCCTCCGCATAGAAAGTGAGTGACACATTTGCTTAGGCAAAAGCCCAGAAGTGAAGAAGACCTGCAGGGATTTTAGTGCCTACTAAAACATATTCAAGCCAAATAGACTTGCAAATATTTTGTCCCTTGTTAACCAGTTTGATTGACTATTTCTTGAAATTAAAGCTTGAATGGAATATCCTAATAAGTACTTCAAAATTATGTCAGTGTTTCTGTGTAAGTAATTCAGGCATACTTATGAGTACATCTATTCAAATTAAAAATGTTTACCTTTCAGTCAAAGACTCAAGGCTGTTTTTTTTATCAAATCCCTTAATTTTCTATAAAATGGTGGTTTGGTCTGGTGGCACATTCAGAAATGATTTGTACAGTGTTAAGAGATGTATTATAGCTTAACCAATATAATTGAGTGTATTTTTCTGGCTGGGGATGTATTTATATTAGAGTTCAGAGGTTTTTTTTCTGTGATTGATAATGATGTAGCAGTATTTATTTATGATACTTTAATTTTCTACATCATTTTTCATCAAATGCTCCCAGAATAGTTTGCCTAGCATAAAAATTGCAAAACTAAACAAGAATTGAATATTTCTTTTAGTATAGAAAATAACCACCAGCCATTACCTTGCTCAGGCAAAATTTATTGTTCTCATAAGTATATTTTCATGCTTGAGAATAATAATCAAGGCAGTTAAAACTATTTGTTTTACAGATTTTTATAATTCTGATTTTCGGAATTATAGTGTTTTTCAGCCATTATTTTAAAATGTGCTTAATACAAGATTAAAAAACAGTGGCAAGGTCTAAACAACAATGAGCAAAACTAAAATTTCTGCATTTACAAATCATTTTATAAATGTTGATCACTAAAAAATTAAGTATGTACAGTGACACATATGTGCAGTAAGGGCCTCCCAAAATTCTTCCTCCAAAGCCATACACGGACAGATCTCCCCCCCCCCCAAAAAAAGATCCTTTTAGCTAAACCAGGGTTGTCCAACTGTGGCAACTTTTAAGATCTGTGGACTTCAACTCCCAGAATTCTGTGAGTTGAAGTTGACACATCTTAAAAGTTCCCAAGATCAGATACCTCTGACGTAATCCTTATGCAGACTTTGACATTTCATTGAAAAATAATTTGGCATTACCAAAACAGTGTTTAGTTTAATTTTGTTCCTGGATTTAAAATTTGAAGCGGTCATTTAAACATTTGGGGTCAGTACTTTGCTCACTGCTTGATTGTACCTATGTAATTTGGGGGGGGGGNAAAGCTCGGGACGACTAGATAACCGTCTTTCCCCGAATCTTTTCGCCTCCGAAACTTTCCAGACCCAGCCGCCCCCTTCAGCTCATCGTTTACTTTTTACACAGTTCGCTAAATAGACTCCGCGTTAAAAAGCAGCCCGCCTGGAGCCACGCCTATCCTCCCTCCCCCTTACCGGACTTCTACTCCCAGAATGCTCAGGGTGAGCGCCGGTGCGTGCGCAGGCGCGGCCGTGGCTTTGTGAGGCGGGGGTTAGGCCGCGCGCGTGAAGGGGGAAAAAAAAGGCGGCCGAGGCCTGAGGCGAAGGCGGCCGCCGCCTCCTCCTCTCCTTTTCCCCCTTCCCCCCCACCCTCTTCGGGGAGAGCGGCGCTGAGGCCTGCCTGACGGGAAGGCCTAATCTCAACCGGGGCCTCCTTGGAACGATCCGGGGCAACGGCTGGGCCCCGCCGGGCGCTCCGCTATTATGCGCCACAGCCTAGCCCAGCTCTTAGCGGCCTCGTCCGGGCGGGGAAAACCCGGAGAGGCGGTCGCGGCCTGCTCCTTTCCGGGCCCGGGGGCCGAGCGGCGACCTGAGGAGGAGACGGAAACAGCGGCGGCGGCGGCGATGACCGAAGATTCCCTGGAGGACCCGGACGATGACGACCTGCTCTTCCCCGCGGACCTGGAACTGGACGCCTGGCTGGAGGCGGCGGTGGGCGGCGGCGAGGCTTCCCCTCCATCGGCCTGGGACGGGGCGAGTCCTCCGGCCGAGGCGGCGGAGCCTTCGAGCTCTTCCAGGCCGGCGCGCCCTTGCAGCAACCGCCTGAAAGCGGCGGCAGCGGCTCGCCTGAATCGCCAGAAGAAGAAGCTGTACGTGCAGGGCCTGGAGACGCGGCTGCAAGGCTTGGCGGCCGAGAACCGGCAGCTGCGGGACCGCAACCGGGGCCTCTGCCGCCGCCTGCGCGACCTGGAGCGGGAGACGGGCTACCTGAGGGCCGTGCTGGCCAACCAGAGCGCTTTGGGCCGCCTGCTCGGACGCTTGGCCGGCGACGGCAGCCTGGGCCTCCGCATGAGGATCAGCAGCAGCCTCTTCCAAGAGACGGCGGCCGGAGCCTTCGGCGAGAACGGCGACCACGACTACGCGCTGCCCATCCCGGAGGAAGAACCGGCGGAGAAGCTCTCCTCGTCCTCCCGCAGCCCCGGCGGCGTTTGCCTCCATGTGGACCGCGACCACCTTTCGGTGGAATTTTGCTCTCTCTGCGCCAAGCGGGCAGCCAGCTCGGAGACTTTGGCGGCCGCTTCTTCTTCTTCTCTTCCTCCTCTTCCTCCTTCTGCTGCTGCTTCCTCCTTGCTCTCCAAAATGTAGGGTCAAGTATTTCCACTTCTACGCAGAACTTAAAAAAATATATACTCCGAGTGTCTGCCTGCTGTCATCATCCCAGGGGTTTGCTAGCGGAGGATGCAGTTAAAAGAGAGAGAAGGAGAGAGAGGAGAGGAAGAGGATTGTAACATAAAATAATACTAACAAAAAAAGCAAAGAAACCCGAGATAAATGGGGGAAAGTGATGAAAAAAGCTGGCTTCTTGGTTAGAGCCTCCTGTGCTTAGTGGAAAGTGAGGGATGGGGGAAGAAATGCAAAACTTCCCCCCTCTTTTTGTGTGTTGGAGGATCATCTTGTGTTCAGTGTTGGGGTGGCGTCCAGGACGCCCAGCGGTGTTGTGGCTGAAATGTTTTCTGCAGGCGCATTGATAAAAAAAAAAGGCTTTGTCACTCAACTTGCAAGCATGGAAAGCAGGTAGACAGTGGTGGTAAGAATAGCCCAAAAAGGGCAGAAGTATGGTAGCTTTTTAAGGTTCCCATGAAATGAATAATGGTGGGAATAGATTAAAAAAAAAAAAGGAATCTAGCTCGCTCTGTTGCTTAAAAAAGAAGCTGAAAAACAAAATGCGTAAACTTCACCGTCTTCGCTGGAGAAAGAAACCCTTCATCCAAATAGTAATATAATGCACAGCAGGTAGTTTAAAAAAAACATGCATGTGAAAATTGTAAGACATCTGTTATACATTACTATTAAACTTTTCTGACAGTTTCTCTTTTAGGTGCTTGCCCTGCCAGGCTCCGTTGTGTAGGGGTTAAAAGAACAGTCGTTTACCACCTCGCAACCTGGTAAGGATCCATAATATTCCCGTAATGTGGTATCGGACAGTTTGCATTGGTACTTAGCCTGTTTTTCTTTTTAAAAAAAATTGGTCTGGTCCAGGAGTTAGCCATAGGTCTGGAGGCAGTTCCAAAAATGAGTTAATTTTGATTAATCAAGTTTCAAGTAATGCTAGTCATGTTAGCACTACTTTTCCCTGTCATTCTAAATTTTTAACATGTTCCTGATAAGACGCGTAGAAATTATTTTAATGTAATATTTTAAAATAATAGGTTAAGATTTTGGGGGGGAGGGGGAAATGCTGCTAAATGTACTTTAGCGATATGTTGCGCGGAGAAAGGGGAATCAAAACCTTTTTTTGTTTTTTTTTACTGAGACAATGTGAGTATATCTTTAAAGAAATAAAATATACCTCAACATTTACTTTAGAACTTGGTCTTTTCTAGTGGAGTAAACTACTGAGTTTTGCAAGTTTTGACAATGTTTAGTTAAGAAGCAATTGCTGTAAACTTTCCCAGTTAATAAGAGATGGATTATTTGTCCATATACTTGGCTGTTCAGTTACTATAATAATGTGGCCTTATCTGCAAGGAAGCAAATAAGCCCACAGATTGTTTTAGTAATATCAGTGTTCTATCACTACATTGCTGCATGCATTTTGAAGACTACCTAGAAATATTTTAGTCTAATGAATTTTGTTTAGTTTTGTCTCATGCAGGTCTCTTAAAGTGGGACCTGCATTTTGCTAAATTGTACTAAAATGAAAGTGGCATGCCAGTTTGAAAGTTTTCAAAAAGTAAAAAGTAAATGAACAAATATATATATTCTCCCCCACACATTTATGCAATTGTTCCTGTCTAGGATGGAGGAAGATATTCTGCTGACAAGCTCATGCTGGCTTGGGGGCTAGCACATACGTTTTCCCTGCATCAACTGTCTGTTGTGTTTAAGTGCTTCATATTTAAATTTCTGTAAAATGGGGAAATAAGGGTTGTGAAATAATGTAAAGTGAGGTTTCACAAAGAATATTAAACCTGGAAAAATCAGTTGCCCCTGCAAAGGAGGCGTCCTATTGTCTTGTCTTGAATTAGAAACATGTGACTATTTCTCCTATGAATGAAATGCAAAATTCTCAAAATCTGTTGCAACCTGTATGTTTTCAACCACAGGATTTTCTTTGTGAAACCTTGCTGTTTAATGAAGTATGTGTATATTTAGCATCCTTGTTTTTCTTTATGCTGAAGTGGATACAGCTGTCATGGGCAGAAGAGACGGGACCAGCTGCTGGCCACCCTTCCTGCTTTATTTTAAAAGGTAGTATGAGAAAAAGGGAGCAAGGTAACAGGGCACTGGCTGTATTTCACTTTGAAAACAACACTGAACAGGGTAATGTTGATGTTTTGAGCAACTAATCCAATCTAGCAAGAAATTAAATATACTGATGTGAAAAGTGGCATCGTTAAAAAAAAGCATTTGCTTTCTCGCTGGTTATTTCCTGTTTTCGTAATCTGAAATTGACTAAATTGTTCAAACTTTTATTCATGTATCAGATGATTGATAACACCTTAAATTTCTCAAGCTAGAATTAGGATTGCTGAGAGGACTATTTTAATTCTCTTTTAATTGATATATGGTAGCTGTTTTCCCTTCTACTGTCACATCTGCTATATGAATGTACATATTCCCATCTCTAAATCAGTAGGAGCATCTACAAGGAGACTGGCAAGTCTTTTCTTATGGCAGCTGCAGCACTGCAAAGAACTAATTCCTTTGCCAGCTCATTTCTTGATATTATCCCATACTTAGTAAGTGGCTATTTTTTAGAAGTCTTCTAAATGTAGTCATCCTGGCCAAATCGTAAACTGAAATATGAAAATATAGACACATTTCTCAGTTTTTAATCATGCTTCAGTATCTTTGAATGGCAGCAATTTATTGTCCATAATTCATTTATTTATTCTCTTGGGACTCGATAGAATTTAGTGGTTCCTTTTCTCTATTGCTGATAGCATTCGGCCCACAGAAAAAATTTGTGACACAGTCTATGGTTGTATTTCAAGAAGCAAATGCCTTTTTAAATTGCTTTTCACAGAAGTCATTTTGTTAATGTTGCATTATTGTGAAATGGAATCCTCTTTTCTTTTGTATGATTTAAAGTGTTGTGAGATTAAAAATACATATATATATATATATATATTCTGGGTATTTAACCATGTGTGTCGTCGAAAAATAAAACTGTTGCCTTGAATACCATCCTCCGCATAGAAAGTGAGTGACACATTTGCTTAGGCAAAAGCCCAGAAGTGAAGAAGACCTGCAGGGATTTTAGTGCCTACTA